ATGATATGTTCTTGTTTTACCTTTCCCTCGATTTTTGGACTTAGAGTTCAAAGGAGAAGCTACTTAAGAACGATATTGAAAATTATACAACGACACTCATTAAACTCTGTAAAATATCATCCATAATCATTATTTTTATTGTATGTCTATATCAATCTTTTACATATATACTTTTCTCCTCCTTTATTTCTCTGATATTAGTTGTTACTTTTAGTTTAGGCTGTTTTCCATTTATATCTGTAAAGAAAGATGAATCGAATAGTTCGAAATATCTACAATAAATGGCTGAAAATACTTAATCATGATTATTTTTCGAAATTATAAGAATTTTTGTAAATATAATGAAACCTCTTAAAAAGTATTTATTATTAAAAGATTTTTACTCGATATAGTTATTCTAACTATTAGTGCGAAAGATGAACAAAATCTTTTGTCATAATACAATCAACGTATTGTTGTTGTAGAAAGCCATAACTAGAATTCAAAAGAATATATAAGTAATTCCAAATGTATTTGAAGATGTCAGTGAGAAATGAATCCAATACTTGTATTTGTAAAATCTATATATCATTGTATGAACACCTTTTTAACGTATTTGCTAGTGGATATATATAGCCTATTGGATACTCATAGTTTGAAGAAAAGAAAGTAAGAATCATGATTTGTATTAACACATATCATGTTATGTATATAAAAAGAATAGTAATATATGATTTGTCTGGGTTAGTCAAAATAATATTTGTTTTTGTTTCAAACGTTTGAAAATTATCTCTCCAAAAGTTTATTACACATCTACTAATGAACTTTACATCAGTAGTAAGAACTAGAATGCCGAATATCAATTAAGTTGTAAACGTGTTTGTATAATAAAAGATTGTAATAATGTTCAATACTCGATTATTTTAAATAGAAGTTTATAAAATGATGAATATAGTTCTTTTACACTCAAAGCTGTTATTATAAGCATATGTTATATATAATATCGATTTTTCTAAATAATTCTCAAGTTTTGATACTTCAACAAAAACATGTAGATCAACGATCTTCCCTTTGTTTTCAGTCATGAAGTCATATTTTTTTAAGCATATACACATATACAAATAAAGTAAAATAATTCTAAGAGAAATAACTTAATTAGCTGATGATTTATCAAAAGATGAATGCAAGATCAACAATATATTAAAAGGCTATTGCGTGGATATTGTTCAACACTTTCTTCATTCTAGGAGATGAATTTATAAATAAAGTTTACAATGTAAATAATAAGTTTCACAATAGTAAAACGAAAATTTTAATTTAATAATCGATTTTTTTTATACTGTTCTTAGAAAAAAAAAGTTATTTGCCATCGAAACACAGTTCAATAATTATTTAATTCATCAGTCATAATTATCATTTGAATAAATGTTCCATACTCAAATATCATTTCATTCAATGTTTCAAATTTAATTGAACATTGATTATATTTATCAGAAGAAACTGTAATGTCTTCAGTAATTGTATCATCTAATATTCGTTCTTCAATTGTTTGATTATTTAATAAATGATAAATATGTTTAATTAATTGTCTTTTTGATAATGAAATTTTAAATAGACGTAATAAAAATGGTTGATTTTGTTCTGATTCTAATGTAATTGTCATATTACCAGATGGAAAATGCCAGAAAAACATAACTTCTCTATTTATACATTGATCAATTGATAAATTAATTGATGATTGTTGACAAACGGATGATGATGAAATAATAAATGAACAAGGATAATACGTCCAAATTGTAGTAGTCAATTGGCATTCCGATAATAGAGATGTACTGTGAATGAAATGGAAAATAATAAATGAAAATATCGTCACTAAAATGTACATTGGATCATTTTACATTTGGAGAATTCATCGTTTAATGATAGAATATAAAAGAAACTGATTAAATGAATGTGTATATGTTTGTATGATATAGGTAAGTATGCAGGTGAGCCGATTGTAAACATACATATGTACGTGTATAAAGTATAGGAAATGTGTCATCACGCATTCGATCAACAGACACTAAACTGTTTGTTAGTAGAATGAATGATACTAATTATCTCGAGCAACTAGACACTCCCATCTATTATCATTCATCATTTGTTTCTTTCTTATCAATATTCATTCTATCTCATGTTCTTTGTTTTGTTTTTTATTGAAACAAAAAAAAAGTAACAGACAAAACAATACAAAAGAAAACGAAGAACAATTAATTTTCGTTTTTCAATGTTTTTAAATAACAATATGTTTCATATTTTCAGTTTGTAATCGAATAGCTCGATCAATAATAGTTTGTATCGGTTTTTCTAAATTCATAATAGATTGACAATTAAAATACGGATGTTGTTCAATCAAATGTTTAGCTGTTGGACGATTTTGTGGATTATAAATAAGAATATCCTGAGAAAATATTCAATATTTATATAAGAAAATTTTATATATATATATAAAAATGAATTTATACTGATAGAAGTTGTCGATCAGCATTCAATATTGGTAATTGAGATAGTTCAATACTATTGATTGGAAAATTAGGAAAATTTGCTTGATAATAAAGACAATTAGCAATATCAGGCCATTCAACTACCGATGGGGTACCAAACAATCTACTAATATAGAGTGAAAATCAACAAGAATTAACTTACCGAAAAATAAGTAATAATTGATCAATTTCACATTCACCACGAAATAATGGTCGACGAAGACACATTTCAGCAAAAACACAACCAACACCCCATATATCCAAAGGCATACCATATGTTGGTGCATTAAGTAAGATTTCCGGTGGACGATACCAAAGTGTTACGACTTCATGTGTTAATGCTCGTTCTGGGATACGACAACGTCGTGCAAGACCAAAATCAGCCAATTTTAAATGACCTGAAATTTTATATAGAATTATTTTTGATAATAAAATCATAAATTTACCATTAAAATCAATAACAATATTTGATGGTTTGATATCTCGATGAATCTTGATTAGAAATAAAATAAAAAAGCTGTTAGCACAATTCCTGGCGGGATTAAAATGTGAAACATGATCTAACTGTTCTTTCTACCTTCATGAAGATAGCGTAATTGTATCATTATGAAGCGGCTTTTAACTTATCCTGTGGGACAAAGGTATAGAAATATCAGAAAGAAATGTTTCACGTATGATGAACTCAATTGATTAGCAATTTAACAGTAGTTACAAAATTCAAGAGAAAAATCGTTTAATATAAAAGAAACTCGTATCTATCTTTCCTAAACAGTATAAGTTCAATGTTCATGTCTATATCGGTCACGTCTATGACGAGGTCAAAAGAACATGTGTCGATCACGTCTGTAAGAGAGAGATGTAGTGGGTACAAATTTCTGTCCCTAAACACTTCAACACTCGTTTTAGATCATGTTTCATAAAATAAAATATTTACAATAGCACGCCGATGAAGATAATCAATAGCACATAGTATTTGATATGTATAACTCTATGAAATAATTTAAAATATATTTCAAATTAAAAATTTTATTTATTATTCACTTGTATGAGTTTCGAAGATAATCTTTCTGTTGATAAACATGCATCTATATATCGTTTCAGATCTATAGGAAATATTTCAAGAAAGAATGAAAGAAAATCTTTTTTATCAAAATTATATTCAACATGTACAAGTCTAAAGAATAATAATGATAATAAATATGAATAGAATTTAAGATTTTAAATTAATTTATAATACTTAATAATATTTGGATGATCAAGTGTTTTAAGAATAGAAATTTCTCGTATAGCTGTTGCTGATAAATCACCATTAACATCCATTTTTTCATTATATTTTATTGTTTTACGAGCAAATTCCCATGTATGTTCTGATGAATGACGAACATGATCAACATAACCAAAAGTACCTAATTATATAAAACTTAATTTTATAAAAATCTAAATGAAAAAGAAGAACAAAATACAAACCAGTGCCAAGTAATTTGATATGAATCCATGATAGAGAATGTTTTGATTGCCTTAAAGTTTTAGATTTATATTAGAACAAAAATGATTGATTAAAACATACATTAATAATGGTGATCGACAACTATGGCTGTGGTAATTCATTTAAAGTTTTTCTTTTTTTTTATTTATTTATTTAAAACAAGAACTAAATGTAACTCTCGTAGAACATATAAAGTGGAAAAATAAATGTTTCTTATTGATAGATAAACGGTGTGACGATATGTAATTCTAAAGCGAACGAAAGATAATAAAATTTATTTGTTTACAGATGTCCTTCAGTGACTGTTTTCATAATAGAATGTTTTTACTATCAAATGTGCTACTTATGAAAATTTAATTGTATTTTTATATTAAGACATGAAATATTATTTGATTGAGATTTAGACGAATATACAATAGTCTCTTAGTGGATATTAAAATATATTTTGACCAATTTAAATTTATGATATTCTTTGATTATAGTTTCGAAATATTATTACAGAATTATTGTTATGAAGTTTATGTTATATAATTTGAAATATATTCAGTCGTATTTTCACGTATAGTGATATATTAAATATAGCAAAAGTTTTAATATTTAATTAATATTCCTTTGATATTATATTGACACCTAAGTGCTTCATTTTTGAATAACTTGAATGAATTCATGAACAAAGAAAAATATACATTTATTTGAAGAAAAAAAAATATATATCTGATCATTATATTTATTTAATCATCCCAATCTTTTTTTGATTTTTTCTTTGTTTCAAGTTTTTTAGATCGAACATAAGTTTCACCTAATTCAAATGTCAGTTCTTTTTCATTGATTTTTTTATCAATTTGTTCATGTATTGGTCGAGGTCGACTAATAATATCACCATAAATTTGTGCAAGTTGACCAAATTCTTCAACAGTTAATGTTAAACACTTTGTATCTGATTTTAAATGAGCACGATGTAATAATTCACGTGTATCTTCATCACAAGTCTCTTGATGAAAGAGAGATCTAAATAAATAAATATTATAAAATTATTAAAACAAAAAAAAACAAAAATAAAAATAAAATTACGTCATAGTCATTCCCATTTTTTTATTTCGTGTATGAAATGCAGTTCGAGTCACTTTGTCTAAGAGATCATAACTAACATCGACTAATGGTCGTTTTAATGGAATCAATTGCATAACAGCAACATTTACATTTGCAGCTGGAACAAATGCTCGACCAGAAAATATATGTTTAATACGACAATCAAACCAATTTTGAAAAATAATTGATAAACGACCACGTTGATCCATTAATGCATCGGATACAATTCGGCCAGCAACAGCTTCTTGCATACAAATTGTTATTGGTATTCGATAACCATATGAAAATGGACCGGATTGAGTTGATACTTGTTGTAACCAACGTATAAGAAGTGGAATAGCAATATTAAATGGAAGATTTCCAACTAAATGAATTGGTGATAATGAAGAAGATTCATTAGATTCCCATGAACCACGTTGACTTGTAATACTATCAGGTATAACAGATTCAATATCAAAATCGAGTATATCACCTAGATAAAGTCGGAGACGAGAATCAACAGCATTAGCTAATGTCTAAAATAAAGTTTTATATTTGATAGCACTTAGGACATACTAAAAGTAGTCGCGTCAGTTCTATAAAGTATTATAGAACTAGCGTTACTATTTTTACTATGTCTGCTAAGTAATTACTTGTAATGCAGGAAATAATCGAATATC